GCAAGCGCTGGCCGAACTCCAAGCGCTCCCGCCGCTTGAAGTCCTCATGGCGAATCGCGCGGTCTGGACTGGGCCGCAGATGCATGGGGAGCCGTCGCGGGGACCGCCTGGAGAACAGCATCGCGCGGTGCGCCGAAAGGTCTCCCCGTCAAGGGAGTGAGCAGCACGTCATGTGCCGGTCGAGCTGCTCCACCGCGTGACTGGGCGCGGGCAGATGCATGAGTGAAAGCACCTTGAAACATCTCCGCCGAGTGAAGCGGGAGGCCGAGGATCGATTGGAAGTGCCGCTGCGCGCCCCGATCGCGCCCGCCAGTCTCTCGCAGCGAGGTCAGTGCCTGTCGGCCGCCCTGCTCTGCAACGTATTTGAACTCCCCTCCCAGGACCGTCAAGGCGTTCCTGGAAGGCGATAAGGAGTTCGCCAGCCGCGTCTGGAGGCATGCCCGCAGGCTGAAAAGATCGAGCAGCGCTCACGCTCCTGAAGCCGGACGTCATAGAGGTCCATCTCTATGACCTGGGCCCATGTGTGAAAGTGGGCGACTACCACGTCGAAAGCTCCCGCTTTCCCTCGGAGAGAGAGCACGGCCGCCCGGCCCTTCCAGACGACCGACCAGACCGGCGACGCATCAAACTGCTCCAGGAAAGCATTCCGAACCACTACGCCGACGCCTGCGTGCCCAGTAGTGGGGCCAGGGGACCACCCACTCCTGCACCCAGGCAAAGTGCGGCACAGAGCATGATCCCCAGCCGTGCCGTGGGCCTCCGTCACCAATGGGACGTCCAGCTTCCTCATGAGCTGCTGGACGTAAAACATATTTTGGGCCCGTTTGTGGTCGCACGCCGAGGACAAGAGGGCCTGCGCTTTCCAGGTGCCAACCGCTACGTCCCTCGATACTGCCCAAGGCGTCGGTCCGGGGACGCCGCAACAGCACAGGGGTCGAAATGCGGCCGCGCTGGAGGTGGGCTGGGAAAAACGCGCCCAGGGCTCGGCGAAGTCGACCATGCCGGCAGCAGCCCCCAGGAACATCAGCGGCGCAGTGCGGCAGACCCGACGCAGCTCGGCAGCACCGCGCCCTCCGGGAAGACAGAGGGGGGCAGCAGGAGGTCGAAGGCGTCCGCCGCTGCCAATCACAGGTGCCGACGAAGGACGGGTGCAGAAGTTCGTGCGTGGAGATGGCGGCAAAGGGCGGCTGCGTGCGAATCCCGAAGAGGTGCGGCCATCACGGCCCAGCCCCGCCTCGGCGGGGGGGAACCGCACGACGACGAGCACGAGGAAGCCGCACGATATCGATGTTAGGATGTCTGGAGCATCGAACAACTGTTTGTAGCGAATTCGGCAAATCTTCGAAGCTGTTCGTTGTGCTTGAAACAACCTCAGAGAATGATAACCAGGATCATGACGGGTGCTATGCACCAGATGAAGATCAGAGCTGCGATATGATTTTTGGAGGGGATACTATAGTTCGGCCTCCCCGCCTGTTGTGCCAGTTGAACCTCAGTCAATCCCGTGGTCTAAAATATACAACGACTAAGGGGGGAAGCTTGACTTACGGGGGTGGGGCTTAAAAACCTGACTTGGGAGATTTTGGCCTTCAGGTCCGACTCTGCCATCGGGCGTGGACTACTCGGCTCAGCGCACACCCAGCTCAACCAATTCGGAAGCACTGCGCTGCCGTCATCTAGGAGGCTTTCCAGACCCAGCTCAGCCAGCATGTAAGGCCACCTCATGGCCACGAGCGGCTCCCAGACCCGGCTCGGCCAAAATCCTGGCAGGATCCTCCAGGATCTGGCACTCTGGCTGGGCCCTCCATGCGCACGGCCGCGCCGTTCCCCCTCCCCGAGGAGGAGCGCCGCGTGCGCAGGGCACGCGCAGGTGCTTCTCATGGCCGGCGAGCGGGCCCCCCCCCCGCATCCGAGCAGGTGCAGGCACGTCGGCCACCCTTCGCGCGCTGTGCGCAGCTGCTGGCGCGTGGCGTGCACGGCCACCTGCCAAGACGCCCCTGCGGCCAGCCCAAAGGGTGCCGCCAGGACGCCTTTGCCCGGGCAGAGGGCGCCCCGGGATCTGACCATCGCAGCCGCGGCCTGCTGCGCGGCCGCCGCACAGGCAACGCGCGCCCTCTTGCCGCCCAAGCGGGGCGGAGGGACTCCCCCAACAGCGTCCAGGGAGACACAAACAAACAAACACAACATCCAGGGTTCCCCATACGTTCTACATTTCCTAGAGTTGTTTTGTCTTCCCCTGCCTTTCCAATATCTCCCAAGATTTCCTTAGAAATCTGTGCTGATGCGTGGGTCTGTGTCAATCTATTCCTCCCGATCCCCCCAAAGCACCCGTGGGGAGCGGCCAAACTCCTGCCGCGGGGCAGCCGGCACGCCACGAAGGGCGGGGGGTGAGCTGGACCCAGCCATGCTCGCGTCGTGGAAAAATTCGACGAGCAGATTTGGGCTGTTTTCAGGCTCCGGGGGCCCTCGCCGAGCCCAGGGACAGTCAACAAAAGTAATCAGGACTTCCAGGGGCCGCGCACTGAAGAAACCAAGAGGTCGCATGTCTGGGGAGCCGTCCCTGGCCCGCGGCGTCCCCAGCTTGTCTCGCTCCATTCTGGAGCCCCTGGGGCCCTCTGGGCCTTGGGAGGGGTGCTCTGCAGGCCGCGGGGCCTCCTTGGAAATCCTGGGGACACCCTGGGCCAGGGACACTTCTAGCAACGCCCGAACGGAGTGGCTGGACTCCGCCGGGACGGTGGCGCCGCTGCAGATCGCCAGCCTCACGCGCTGCGTGCTGGTGCGGCTGCCGAGGCTGCGCGGCGCAGTGCCCAACCCCCTGGCGGCGCTGATCGCCGCGCGCTCGCCAGGGACACTTCTGGCCTGAGCTACTGGGGACACTTGTGATACCCTGGGCTGCTCAGGGGTACTTCTGGCAGCGCCCGAGCAGGGCGCCAGCCACAGTGCTGGGCAGGCCCTCGGCCTGGGGGGCGGCATTTGCTGCTGACTGTGGCAATGACCTCGCGCCTGTTCCCGAGCGCATCCTGGCGGCGGCTCCGGACTCCCGACATGGGTACGGAAAGAATTGGTACGATACCCAACGACAAACTTTGCCCAAAACCGACAGCGGCCGCTGTTTGGCAGGCAGCCTTCTGTCTCAAACGGACCACGTCCGCGGCGACACCGACAGCGATCCCTCTTCAAAATGGGCAGGAACTGCTGTCGGTCTCGGTGCCCATTCTTTCCGCACTGCGGATTCCAAAATAAGGGGGTGGTCTGGTTTGGGAGGGGGTCTGATTTGAGCTGTGAAAGGTTCCGCGGGGTCTGGGCCAAAGGCCGCCCTTTCATGGCTGGTCTGGGGGTGGTCTGAAATAGATCGTCTGGGGCATTTGTGACCCCCAACCCTTCCTTATGAAATTCGGAGTTCCCACTTCGATCGTACCAAGCGGGGGGCGAGACCTGCGCTAGCATGGGGGAAGAGGGTCCTGAGGGAAACGGGCCCTTGATCCGGAGCCTTCCCCCAGGACGACATGCTCTTCCTGACTCGTCTCTTGACATCCCCCGGGCCCTTGGAGGGCCCCGAGAGGGCGAAAGCGGCGAAACACCTCAGGACCCGCTTCCCTCAGGACCCGTTCCCCTCATTGGACGAGCGCGCTCCACTACTCGCAAAGTGACTGCTCGCAAATGGCCTGGATCCGCCGCGGGGGATCTACGATAAATTACATGGATGCAGACACGTGTTTGTTGGACACTTGCGAGTAGGCACTTTGCGAGTAGTGGACCGCGCTCGGTGACCCATGGCGAGCGGCGAGCGGCCGCCTGCTGCGGCGGTGGCCTCACGCTGGCCCCCGAGCGCGCCTTGCTGCGGCGGCCGCGCGCGCGCGGTCAAGCGGGCCGGCCTCCCACGGGCCCGCCTGGGCGTGGCACCCGCGGCAGCCGAGGCGGGCTGTCAGCTTGGCGTTCGCAGGCGGGCCCTGCGCCGCACCCGCAGGGGCCACTGCTCGGCGGCGAGCCCGGGGGGGAAGCGAGAAGGGGAGGGCCTTCTCAGATCGGGGGTCTTCTGACCCGGGTCAATCCAAACCCGGGTCAGTCAGGCCTTGCAGGATCCTGCAAGATCCTGCACCCAAGCCTGGGTCAACGCGAAAGATCCTGCAAAATCTTTCAGGATCTTGCACCCAAGCCCGGGTCAATGCGACACTGGCCCTGCAAGATCCTACAAGATCGGGCGCTCTGGCTGACCCCCGTTTGCATTGACCCTCGTCTCAAGGCTCCCGATCAGAAGGCTCGGAAGCCCCCCGGCCTTCTGAGAAGTTCTCTGAGCCTCCCTGCGCCCCCCCCGAAGACGCGGAGAGAACCTCTCAGAAGACCAGGGGGCTTCTGAGAATCCCCACCGCCTTCTGAGGAGGCCTCCTCCTGGTTTCCCCCCCCTCGCTCGCCGCCGACACGGCAGCCGAGGCTGGCTGTAAGCTTGGAGTTCGCAGGCGGACCTCGCGCCGCATCCGCAGGGGCTACTGCAGCGCGGCCACGGCTTACCACAGCTCACGGCAACCGCCCAGTGGGAGGATCGGCTGCCTCAGGCGGGAGAATCGAGACCTGCCTCGGAGCAGAGGTGTCCAATATTTACCTGGGGTCTCGGCCTGCCAACAGTAAAACTTGAGCCACAAAAGGCAACGGGACGAGGAGAAGGTGGAGAAAAAGGAGGAGGAGGAGGAAGACAAGGAGGAGAAGGAGGAGGAGGAGGAGGAGGAGGAGCAGGAGGGAACGAGTGAAAGGTGTGGGGGGGTAGGGGGCGCTGGAGAAGAGAGGGGCGAGAGGTGCTTTTCGCAAGGCGCGCTGAGGTGTCGGGGGGTATAAGGAGGAGGAGGAGGAGGAGGAGGAGGAGGAGGAGGAGGAGGAGGTGAAAGTAGAACGGGGTAGAGAAAGTCAAGCGAGGAAGGTCTGGAGCGGGAGGAGGCGGCAAACGGTCGAGGAGCAGGGAGACAGGAGGGAAGGAGAGAAAGCGGGGGGAGCCGGGCCGCGCCGGCCTGAACAGGGGACCGCGAAGTCCGCACGCCTGCCCGCGCCCGCGGCCCCGCTGCGAAAGCCTTCTCACCCCACCCCTTTCCTTCTCCTCCATGCGTCTTGGAATTACACTGGGCATCCTCCTCCTCCTCCTCCTCCTCGTCCTCCTCCTCCTCCTCCATCCCTCTCCTTATACATGACACCGGAAAAAGGGCCCAATCAGAATCTTGTTAGGGCTATAGGGCTATGGGGCTATCGGGCTATAGCGCCATTAGGCTCTGGTGCTATAGGGCTATAGGGCTCTAGGGCTATAGGCCCTAGGTTTGTAGGGCTATAGGGCTATAGGGCTATACGGCCATAAGGCTACATTAAGGCCATAAAGATATAGGGCCATTGAACTATAGGGCCATAAGGCTATAGGGTTATAGGGCTATTAGGGCTATATTGCTATAGGGATCTGGGGCTGTAGGGCTATAGGGCTATAGGGTTATAAGGCTATAGGGCTATCGGGCTATCGGGCACCCTCGGGCACCTCCGGGCACCCCCGGGCACCCTCGGGCACCTCTGGGCACCTCTGGGCACCTCTGGGCACCCCCGGGCACCTGGGCACCCTGGTACCCGGGCCGGCCACCGAAATCGGCGACGAACCTCACCTAACCATATGAATCCGCTAGGACCCCTACAGAGGCAAGCTCTGATTGGGGAATAACTCCTCCCTGTCGCGCCCCCAGACGTGTCGGTAGGGCGGGCCGGGCGTTTCGCCTGAGACATCCCCAGTGTGCATGATCCTGAAGCTTGAAATTGGCAACAGCTTCACGGATGGAGGGCGGGTCGTTTTCCAAATGTGGTTCTCGCCTTAGCGCCGCGCGCATTCGGGTTTCAAAGTCTGCGGCAGCTTCAAGCATGGAGGGCATGACGTTTTCAAAATGCGGCTCTCGTCGCAGCGCCGCGCACACTCTTTCTTGAGTGCTCACGGACGGCGGGAATGTCGTCTTCAACATATGGCTCTCGCTTGCGCGCCGCGCACATTCGTTTTGAAAATTTGCACCGGCTTCAAAGGTGGAGGGCGGGCCGTCTTTTACATGTGGCTCTCGCCCTCGCGCCGCGCGCGCTCGTCGTCAAAGTCTGCAGCAGCTCCAGGAGTTCGTACGGCTGAAGTCCCAGCGACGTTGGCTCGCGGTGTTGAAATCCCAGGCAATTGCGCTCTGGCGAGATTTAGGATTGTCAGAACGCAACAATCACGATGATTCGCGGCGTTGAAACCCCAGGAATGGCATTTTTGCACGACTGATGACACTCAATCGGTTGTCTTCCAATGGGGCACTTCCCGCATTGAGAGAACTCTTGGAGGGGCGAACTTGGGGGCGGGGTTGATTGCAACATCGTGGATGCGTCTTGGTTTACACTGATCCTCCTCGTCCTCCTCCATCTCTTTTCCTTAGACATTACTCCCCCCTGTCGCGCCACCAGAAACGTCGGCAGGGCGGGCCAGGCGTTGAGCCGGCGACATCCTCACAATGCATGACCCTTAAGCTTGAAAGCCGCAACGGTTTCACAGGTGGATGGGGGGGTACAACGCGATTATCGCCTCAACGCTGCGCGCAGGTGTTATAGAAGTTGCCGCAACTTCACGAATGGAGGGCGGCTCCTTTTCCAAAACAAGGCTGTCGCATCGGCGCCGCGCACATTCGTCTTTTACGTTTGCAACAGATTCGCGGATGGAAGGGGTGGCTTATTAAGTGTAGCTCTCGCCTGTGGCGCCGCGCAGATCTTTCCAAATTCGCAACAGTCTGACGGATTGCAGGGGGGTTGTTTTCAACATGGCGTTCTGGCCGTAGCGACGCGCACACTGTTCTTGGCACTCTGCGCTAACTTTACGGATGGAAGGGGTGTGGCTTTCCAACTGCAGCCCTTGCCGCAGAACAGAGCACATTCGTGTTGAAAGCCCGAACCACCTTCACAGATGGAAAGGGGGTGGATCTCAAAATGTCGCTGCCGCCTCAGCACCGCTCGCGCTCTTCAGGTTCGCAAAGTTTCACGGATGGACGGGGGGGGGCGTTTTCAAAATGGTTTTCTGACCATAGCGCAGCGTACATTATGTTTACAAGTTCCCACTAGCTTCAGGGATGGTGGGTGGCACCTTTTCAAAATGGAGCTCTCGCCCCAGCGCCGCGGACATTCGCTTTCTACCTGAAGAGCTCAGCTTGATGGAGGACTGCTCTTTTCCAAAATGGAGGTCTCGCCGAAGACTTGGCGGAGTTTTTCGGGACCCGAAGCTTCAACGCACTTGGCACTGCACGGATATACGGCAGCTCTTGGTCAACATGGAGCCATCGCTTGAGAGATCATCGAAGCGCGTGACCACAAGGGCAAACTTGTGCAACAACTACATCGACGGGGGTGCTTCTTCTTCGAAGGGGGGATATCACTTCTCACCTTGTTGAACTGCATCATATGGACATTGTTTCCCTCGTTCCTGACTGTGCGCCAGAAGATGCAAGGAAATTGCTTTTCAAAGTGAGGACCTTGCCAGGCAGGCCCAAGTGGGCTAGTCTTTCTGTAGGGGTTTGTGAGGAGGGGCCCTGAGACGGGAGGGTGCATTGCAGCATCGCTTACGCATCTTTGCCTTACTCTGGTCCTCCCCCTCCTCCTCCCCCTCCTCCTCCTGCTCCTCCTCCTCCTCCTCCTCCTCATCCTGCTCCTCCTCCGTAGCGGTATCGGCACCTGTTCCTCCTCTGAGCTCCTGCCCCTTCCCCTCCACAACGGTCGACACCACTCCCACGCGCGCCTCGCGGGCGGCCACCCGGGGCCGCCCTGGCTGCGCCACGCCCGGGCCTCCTGTCTATTTCCCAGTCGGCGCCGGCGCCTCCGCGCCCGCGACGGCCCGCTCCACCCAGATCGTCCCAGAAGCGCCTTCCTCCCTGCGGCACTGCTACGCTGGCACTGGAGGCCTTTTAGATGGGGTCGGAGGATCGCGCCGAATCGCCGATGCATCCCGATGCATCGCCGATGCATTGGCGATGCACTGGCGACGTCGGCGATGCATCGGCGCCGTCGGCGTGAAGAAAATAGGGCTCCGCATCGAGCCGCATCGCCGATGCATTGGCGATGTGGCGCGATCCTCCAACCCTATCTCCTCGGACACCATTTGGGAGGCCTGGATTCCTCCGGCACCGCTGCGCTGGCACGGTGGCGGGGTTTGCCACAGGCGGCCCGACAATCAACATAAGCGCGGGCTTCTGTCCGATTACTACTTTTCGCGCAAGCGCAGGTTCGCGCCCGTTTCATCCGACATTAGGCATCCTACATCCGCGGCAGCGGGTACAGACACAGCGGTAAGCCAGGCCAACCCGTGGACCGTCCGTGCGACGCCCAATGTGCCTCACAACGCTGAGGCGTTGGACACCTGCATGGAATTCTGGTAGCACCGCCACCAATCCGCTGGTGACTTGAACGGGTGGAATCCGGCGAACTTCGGGTCGTGACAGCTCGTCCAGCCGTGCCTCGGCGCGCAGTGGGCTTCAAGGAGAAGGCTCCAGTCGTCGACTCGCCTCACCCCGAGGACCTTCCACAGGCACTGGTCGATGAACATGTCCTCGCCCCACAGGCACGGTCCGTTGCACAACTTCTGGAAGTGCCGGGTGCACCGCTCTGCTCCGCCAGTCCACGCGAGCACGGCGTTCAGAGAGAAGACCTCCAGAGGCCCGTGCATCCCGAGCGCACAATTGTTCAGGTACACCCCGTTCGGCTCGTCTGTGAGGCCCTGCAGTTTTGGCAGCAGCCGCTCCGGGAAGAAAACGCAGTCGGCATCAACCTTGACAGTCCATCTCGCACGCTCGAACTCGCCAACGTGGATAACCTCGGCCCACACGGCCATAAAGATCTCCGTGTTGAGGGCCGTCTCGAACTCCCCGCCGTTCTCGCATTTGAGGTCGCTCTTGATCGGCGTGGCGCGCAAGCCCGATGACACCTCTATTGCCTTGCTACTGAACAGCGTCCACCGGTCGCAGGTAAAGATGCCCACGTGATTCTCGAACTGGTGGGCCACCAACTCCGGCTCGTAGCCAGTGGGCTGCATTAGCTGGAAGCAGTACACCGTGCTCTGGCCAGCATGGACCTGCCCTGCACTGGCGGCTGCAAGGTGCGCGAAACCTTTGTGCGATGCGCTGCCAGCCTGGATAGCCTGCCGACCTGCTCCGCCGCTGGGCGCTGTCGTGGCTCCCGCGCCGCTGGGCGATGCCGCGCGTGCTCCCGCGGAGGTTGCGCCGCCCGGCGACGACACGCTGCCGGCCGCCGTGGCGCTTGGGCTGCCAGACTCCGCGGTGGCGACTGCGGCGGGCGCCGCCGCGAAGTCCACGTCTCTGGGCGTCTCCGACCTGCCCGCCTCGTCCTGTGGCAACTCCTGGGAGTCTCCCATCCCATCTTGTTGGCCCTTGCGAGTCGACGCTGGTCGACGCGAATCGACGCTAAATCGATTCTAAATCGACGCTAATCGACGCCGGTCAATGCTAAATCCACGCTAATCGGCTCTAGTTGACGCTAAATCGGCGCTATCTCGTCGATTGGCAAACGCTAATCGACGCCAGTGCGCATTAAGGACGGAGTTGCGAGGGAATACAAGGCTCCCACGATTTGCCACCGAAACCTCGGCTGCCCCCACGCCCGCACCGCCGAGAGCTGCTGAACCAGCCACACTCAGGCTGCCGTCGGACCACACGTCCGAGCGGCAAGCGTAGCCGGAGATCACGCCGTCCCGGGCGTGCTTCTGTGGAAAGCGGCCCTTGGCCAGCCTCTTCAGAAAGCACACGTCGCTGAGACCCTCGCGCGCGCGGGCCTTCCCCCACGTCCACACGCCGCACGCGGGCGCTGTCCTGCACAGGGCGCCGCACGCACTTGCACTCTCCACGAAGCCCAGCTCGCTCAAGTTCCTGGAGAGCGTTCATTCAACGCTTCGCGATAGAGGCCGGTACCGGCCACGGTCGCCCTCCACCTCCCCCCTTCCCCAGGTAACGTCACGATTCCTGATGAGCTGCCAATTGTCTTTGGCTTGTCCTGGACATTCCCAGACGGCGTCGGCGCGAAGCGTGACGTTACTGGCTTCCCTCCCCTCTCCCCCCTCCCGCCCCCCCCCCGGTAACGCCCGACATCGCCCAGAGATAAAAGAAACGCTCTCCTGTGGGTCCGGAAGTCCACGTTGTCCTCAGGCGGATCGCAAAGCTTCAGGGTGGTGGTGGCAACGACGGGTCCCTCTGTCGTGACCGTCATCGTCGGCACAGCGGTAATCGCGCGCCGTGAGGTCGAAGTTGTTGAGGTGGTTGTTGAGATGGTCGTTGGGGCCGCCACCGTTGAGGGGGTTGTCGACGTGGTCGTTGAGGTGGTCGTTGAGGCCGCCACCGTTGAGGTGGTTGTCGACGTGGTCGTCGAGGTGGTCACCGAGGTGGTCGCTGAGGTGTCTGACTCGGTCCTCGTGGTCGAAACGAACGACGTCTGCGTCGACGTCGGCTTTGCCGTCGTCGTGGCAGACGTGGTCTGCGTGGAAGTCTCGGTCATTGTCCAGCTGGAGGTCAGCGTCCTCGTGGCTGTGGAGGAGACGCGCTGCAGATGGGCAGCCAGGCCTGGATGGTGTCCGCACTTTGCCCCCGACACGGCCGCGAGGTTCAGGTGCTGCTCGGGCCACTCGCCATCTACCAACGCCCACATGAAGCACACCGAGCTAAGGCCCTCCACGCCGGTGGCCTTTCCCCAGGTCCACAGGCTGCACTCGCGGTCCTTCTCGCACAGCCCGCGGCACGTGACCGCGTCGGCCACCCGGCCTACCTGGTCGACGTTCCTGGACGTGCGAAGCTCAACGTTGTCCTCCATCTCGTGGCAGGCCGCCTCCCGGGGTATACAAAGATGGTACCGATGCCGCCGCTCCCCGGACCCCTCCATTGGTGCGCTCTGACCCGAATCTCTAGGCGAATCCAGCCGTGGCGACGAGGGCCTCCCAGCAGACGAGGCAAAGGTAACAGTATTGGTACGGCAGGTTCGTCGACACGACAGGAACCTACTGTACCTTGTCCTCCTCTGAGCCTCGACAACGTCGGGGTGGCTGTGCTCCGCCCGCCCATGCTGCTGCTTCTGCGGCTCGGTGGCGTCTACGCCGCCCCCGCTGTCTGCCGTGACCTGGCACGACAGGCCAGACACGGCAAGGTCGTTGAACTGCCTCCGAAGGGTCTCGAGATCTGTCAGCTCCTTCAGGAAGCAGACGTCGCTCATCCCAGCGACCGCGACGTCCTTGGTCTTGCCCCACGTCCACATGGAACACCTCTAGAGAAAGAAGACACTGCACAAGCATAAACTTTCGAAGGTCCGTGCGGATTTCTAGGATCGGCGCTGGACTCCCCTAGCGGCGCCTCCGGCGCCGCCGCTGGCGCGCTCCGCGAGCCAGGGAGGGGGGTGCAGCGCCGATCGAAGAAATCCGCGCGGAGCTCCGAATGTGTTTGTGCTTATGCAGTCTTGTCTTCTTCGAACCTCGGCTCGTCCTCGCACTTGGTGTGACACTCCTCGGGGCTCATCACGCTCTCCATGTGGTACAGCTCCTCACCGCCTTCGGCGGTGACGTACTCCACGCTGTCCTTGGCACAGAGATACCCGCTACGTACTCCCCGGACCTCTGACCGGGCGCGCCCTGACTAGAGCTTCAAGGGGACTCAAGACGCGGCAACAAAGGCCTCCAAGCAGACCCACCCAAGGAACAGACCCACCCAAGTAAGCCAGAACGATGAGAGGGCAACGAAACAACGGGTCACAAATTTACCGATATCTCTGCTCCCAGGACCTCTCCTGGGGCGCGCCCTGAACAGAATCCAGAAGGTTCCAAAGTGGTTATTTGGGGAGGGGGTTTTCCAGGAGGGGTCCCCCAGGGGCATCGCACCCCCTGCTTTGACGAGGTTCTGAGGCCCCTGGGGGGCTCTCTGGAAAACCTCCTCCCCAAAAACCCCCTTTGGAACCCTCTGGAGAACTTCGAGAAGGATCCAGCCGCGGCGACGAGGGCCTCCCAGCAGACCCAAAGAGGCGAGAACGAGGGAAGGGCAGCGAAACAGGGTGACCGCGGGGAGGGGGGGGTGCTAATGGGATAGAGAGGTTAGAAGTGGATCGTCAGGTGGATTATGCCTGGCCTAACCTAGCATATCAGTGAGTTACAAATGCCCCAACTGGCGTTGGGGGTTAGATAACTTCGCGGAGCGGGCGGAGCTGACTTAGCCTGGATCGTCAACACCCCTAGCCACTTGGGACATTGTGTAAGCTCCGTATGAGTTATGCTAGGCCAGGCATAAGCCACTTCAACGCCCACTTCTAACCCCCCAATCTCCTTAGCAACCCCCGCGGTCATCCCAGTCCCAGGCATCCAGCCGCTTCAATTTTTGTCGATGCGTGGGCCCCGGAGGTCTGGACCGCTTCCCATGGGGCCGGCTTCTTATATTGACAGTCCCGAGGCCCCGCGAGGGCCCCTGGAGGCCGAAAACGGCCCCCACCCTCCGCTCCGACTTCTTCAGAGCGTCGGGTCTCTGGGCTGGTGGCCGTGGGAGGCGCAGGGAGGCCAAGAGCTGTCGACCGACCAGTCTCCAGCGGGCGATGCCCCCCGCCAGAGCCCGCCGACCCATCGGCGATCGGCGGCAGGGGCGGCCAGTCGCCCCCCGCGCTCGCCGGGACTGGCTCGGCTGGCACGGCTTCGGGCTGCGCAGAGACAGCTTCCCACCCCGGGGGGGGGGGGCCACTGCAGCCCGGTCGCCCTCGCGTCGTGCTGGAAGCATGACGGGGCCTTGTTGCTGCTGCTCTCGGCCTCTGGGGGCACTCGCTGGGCCCTCGGGCCGTCAACAAAACGACTCAGGATGAACCACCAGTCCTGGGGAATGGGTCGATTGACCCCGGGGTGTCGACACCATGACGAAAATCACAGCCTCGGGGGTCTGGGCGCCCTGATCACTGGATGCCAAAACTTCCTGGTCACGACCAGCGAGATCGGTCGCTACCGACTTTGCTTCCGATTCCAATCTCGGTCGCGATCGAGTTGCTTCAAGATCGGTCGCGACCGATCGGCCGAGACCGATTTGGAGTGCCGATCGGTCGCTATCGATCGCGACCGAAACAATCCCGTATCGGGTATCCACCGATCTGGGCAGGGAGTACCGGCTGGCCTCAGCAGGCCCCCCGAGTATCCCAGGGAGGTCTCAACACCTCACGTCTGGGGCGCGGAGCGCCCCAGAAACGCCGCCAGAGGCGGCGCCAGGGTGTTGGTACCGCCCCTGGCTACTCGGTGGGCTTGCTGCTGCCAGCCTAGACTAACTGGGGGGCTGTCTCTGTGCAACCTGCAACCAAGCTCGGCACCTTCTCTGAGATCCGACGCTGCGAAAAAAATGACATCGTAAAACAACTCGACCAAACACCGGAACCCATCCTCCTGCTACATTCTTCGAGCCGGATCGATCAGTGAGGGTCCCCGGGCCCGAAACCCATGGGCAGAATCGACCGTTGCGAAAAAGATGCGACGCCAGGATTAGAGGAAGAACAACTGCACAGAAACATCACTTTGGGAGGTCCGCGCGGATGTCTTTGACCTGCGCTGAACTCCCCTTCCTGGCGCGCGGAGCGCGCCAGGGGCAACCCCGGAGGCGCCGCCAGGGGTGCCCAGCGCAGATCCAAGAACTGCTCGCGGAGCTCCGAAAGCTTATGCTTCTGCAGCCCCTTCTTCCTCGGAGGGTCTCGTGGCCTCCCTCTTCCGGGTCCTCCGGGGCGCCACAGCCCACCAGCTGCTTCCCCTGCAGCAGCGGCGGCGCCCTCAGCCGCCCCGCGCCGCGGCCCCTCGCGGCCGCCTCGGCCTGGGCGCCGCTGGGCGCGCTGCCGCTGCGCCGCGCCAGCGCTGCGAGGGCCAGCGCCGCGAGCACGGCCGCGGCGCACGCGCTCCTGCTGGAGATCGAGCGTTCTTTTCTGGCGACTACGCGAGGTATATCCGGAGGGGGAGGGAAGGGGGCCCTGAGATCCGGGCGTTGCAGCAATTTGTTCATATCGGGCCTTTTCGTCCAGGTTCGGGCCCCGGGGGCCATACCAGAGCCATACGTCTCGAAAAATGCTGCACAAGCATGGGGTCTAGGGCTCTGGTCGCGATGTTTCGTGGTGTTGCCATTTTTGGGCAACATCGAATCTCAGGGAGGTGACGGCCGATGACGCAACCTTTTCGCTGTGAGCCCGCGCGCGCCAGCACTGCATGCGTACGCCCTTCTGACCTGCGCAACCGATGAGGTCAGGTTATCCAGGTGACGGGAATTTTCGAACACTGTATAGCACCACAGAGAAGCTGCGTCACGGTGTGCGACGGATGAAAACCTGACGGCAGCCGAGCTGCAGCATCGACGAGGGCATGAGTATTATACCACAGAGAACCCTGACAGGACGAGGGCGCAAGCAGATTGAGACGAGCCAGCAAAGCCTGGGGCTAGAATTGAACAGGGAAGCCTCACGAGCGAGGCGCATCCCGCAGCTCAGGGGCACGCTACACTAACACTGGTTACCCTGGGGAAGTGGAGAAGAAGGAGGCGAGCGGACCCGACAACCTATCGCTCGACCCTTTAAACACAATCTCCTGGCTTGGAGCAAACGGGCCGAATGAGGAATCGGAAGCGTCAACGAGGGGAGGAGGAGGAGGAGGAGGAGGAGGAGGAGGAGGAGGAGGAGGAGGAGGAGAAGGAGGAATCGCGACGGAAGGCTTCTTGGAAGTTTCGGCCTTCGAAGGGCGCTCGTCGGGTCCAGGGCCGTCAAAAGCCAACTCTGGACGAAGAAGCAATGCTGGGGAATGGGTCGAGATCTCTGAGGGTCCGCGCTGCGAAAAAATCATGCATCTGAGGGAATCGGAGGCGTCCACGAGGGGAGCGTGCAGGAGGGGGGATCGCAAACCATGGCCCGAGGCACGTTGGCGGCGAAGGGGAGACAAATCCCATGTTGCGAATGCGAATGCGAAGAACAAGAAACATAATTCAAATCATCATCCGAATAATGCGAATAAGAGAACGAATGGTGAAACTACGAATACTAATAATAATAAGAATGCTGTTACGAACAAGAAGAACAGCATACACAAATCCATAACACGAGCAATGACAATACGACTGATAATACACACACTACTAACAAGACATACAAGCATAGCTACGTAATCAAAAACGCGTAAACAGATAAACACACACATAACACGAATCCGAATCATAATGATGATACGATTATATACGAGTGGTGAGAAGAAAGATACTACTAATACATCAAATCACACTTCCAAACACAATAGTGACCCTAATAAGACTATAATAATAACAAGACGAATGGCGTGCCGCGAAACCCAAGGAGATGCCATGACCCAAACCGTAATATCCACATACCCCTAGTCAACAACCCCCGCTTGGGCCCCCCAAGAAGAAGCGGGTCCTGGACCCATGGGCCTCGCCCTGGAACCCGCTTTCCGTCCTGAGCCGTCTGTTGGATGATCCCAATGCCCGTGGAGGGCCCCTGGGCCCCGAAAGCAGCAGAAAAACAGTATCCGCCTCCCTCAGGTAGAGGAAAAAAAACTATGCAGATGCACCGATTCTGGCCAGGCCCATCCTGAGCCCAAGATCGGTGCACACGCCCTCCTACCTTGGCCAGGAAGGCATATGCACCGATCCTGGGTCAAGGATGGGCCTTGCCAGGATCGGTGCATGTGCATAGTTCTCTTCGCCCGATCAGGGCCACGTTCCCATACGGTAGGTTCGTGCGGCGTCGGCGCGCGCGAAGGTTTTTGACACCGCGTCGATCGTTGAACCTTGACTCGACCGCGGCCCGATCGTCCGTCGGGTCCAGTGGCGTTACGGTGTCCCTCGGTGGTTCCGCGTCGCAGAATTCAACCTTGAACGCCTTCGCCAACGTCGCCGGCGTGCCAACGCCGCATGGACCTATCGTACAGCCGACGTTTTCATGTTTCAAATCCGGGGGCGCTGAGCCCCCAACCTCTTTCCCAAGGGGCTGGTTTTCTCACATGGTCCAATTCTGATACCCCCAGGGCCAGAGAACGGTCCCGCGTGGAATTAAGAAAATGCATCGTCGGGGGTCTGGATCTCCCTCAGGACCCCGTTGTTTCATGGCGAGGAGTACCTGGTGTGGCTTTCGGGTCGTGAGAATCTGGTCTCTGGCGGCTGGTCGGGACGAGTCGGGCAACCGCGGAACGCTCCCGGCGAGGCGCAGCTGCTGGAAAGCATCTGGAGGCAAAACAAGTATTGGAAACTGTAAACAACTTCGAAGCGGGATTCCGAAAACGGCGACCAAAACTCAAGACCCAGACATCCTCCGATAGGCTTCGTTCAACCTGCGGCCCCAGAACACCCGAGCACTTAACCCCCAGGTTTACCTTTGCCTCCGGGATCCATGCCGGATGGCCCGTGCACCAGTGCCCAATCACGGGCACTGGAGGCCGAAATCAGGCAAAGGCGCCAGATTTGTTGAACAACAAAAAAACCCTCAGAGGTCTGGGGGCCATTTCCGCCCCTCCTCCCTCCTCCCTCCTCCCTCCTCCCTCCTCCCTCCCCCATCCCTCCCTCCCCCCCTCCCTCACTCACCCCCCCCTCCCTCCCTCCCTCCCTCCCAGGACCCCTCTGCTTCACGGCGAGCTGGAGGGGAACGTCGAGGGGACCGGCTTAAGGGGGGGGGGACATCGACCCGGAATCGGCGATACATCGCCGATAGATCGGCGATATGCCCCCGATGGCGGGTCCGCACGGTCCTGGGCGGGGCGGGCTATCGCTGCCGGGCCCCTCTGTACGATCAATGGGCGGTTGGATGTCGATGCGCTCCCCCCCCTGAGCCTGGATTGATCCTCGACGTCTGGCTTCCAGGTCACAACTCGGGCCTCCAGCGGGCGGGACGATCCCGGCACCCCCCGACGCCAAGAGACGCAGCTGCCCGAGAGACCTCCAAGCCCCATGACGGCCCAAGTGGCCGCCACGACGGCCCCAAGAGGGCCCCAAGACGGCCGACGAGGCCTCCAAGACGCTCAAGATGGCCTCCAAGACGGCCCTGGAGCGCCCTGGGGCTGGAAAGCCGCCGAGAACCGGCGAAATCGCCCGAAGACATCGGACCTCGAAATCCTGCCCCGAGCCAGTCCCCACCTAGCTGGAGGTATCCTACGGGGCCCGAGTAGGCGATGCCTCGGTGATGCACTGGCGACGGCGGCGACGCGTCGGCGCCGTCGGCGTGGAGGAAATTGGGCCCCACATCGAGCCGCATCGGCGATGCATCGGCGATGCGGCGCGATCCGCCGACCCAATCTGGACAAACAGGCAGGTACCGATACCACTACTCCAAATCCCTTATTAATCGATCCCCCCGTAAAAAAAACAGACCCCCCTCCAAATGCGACCTAATATTCCGGACCCCCTTCTTCGACGGGGCGCATTTATAAACGGGAACCCCTAAGCTCCAATCCAAAGAAAGCGCCCTGAGAAACCGACCCCCCCCAGTTACAAACAAAGTGCCTTTAAAAACCGGACCCAGGGGACGATTAATAAGGGATATGGAATGCCCCCCCAGACCTCTCGCACGGTGCTCCCGCACCAGAATATTGAGGCGAATCCAGCCGTGGCAAGGAGGGCCTCCAAAGAGGCCCAAAGCGGGAAAAACGGGGAACGTGTAGCGGTGTCGGCGCTTGTCCCTCCTCTGACCATCTGCCCGGACCCCCTCTGGGAGGCCTGGAACCAGGAGCAGGAGAGGGGGCCCGACGGCGGGCCGCGCCTCCGCCATCCTCCTCGCCCCTTGATCCTCCTCGATCCCTCCTCGATCCTCCCTGGTCCTCCTCGACCCTCCTCCTCGCTCCCCGCCCAGCGCTGCCCCTGACGAGGCTCCTGGCGCCGGGCCGGCAGGGCCCCGGGGAGCGCGGCGCCGCCGTGCGGTGGGCGAGCGGCACCAGGGCGCGCCGCGCGGCCAGGCGCGTGGCCGGGGGGGAGGACGGCGGCGCGCAGCCCTCCCACGCCACGTCTTCGGAGGGGGCTCCTGGCCCAGACATGATCGCGTCGCGAACAAATCAGGACGGGAGGTTTTTGGCAAAATTTGGCCTCGGGGGGCCCTCGCCGGGCCTCGGGACCGTCAAAAAACGTCAAAAAACAACTCAGGATGAAAAACCGGTCCTGGGGAATGGGTCGAGACTTCCAGGGCCGCCGTCCTGAAAAAATCAGGACGTCACATGTCTGGGGGGGGGACGCAGCAGGGCATTCTGCAGGCTCGGAGGTGCTTCTCCTGACGCCGCTCCAAGGCCCCAACAACACCCGAAAGGCAAACGAAGACTTCCGCACCCAGCCCTGGCCGCACCACTGGGCGCGCGGTCCAAACTCCTGCGGGGGGGTGGCTGGAGTGACCCACTCCTTGAATTCGAATTGTTTTGCGATTCTGTCTGGGACAAGCTCCAATTGTTCACGCTTCGCCGCTTCGCGTATCCGCACCAGCCCATCCCAAACAGCAAATTTTGCTACGCACACCGACGGTCGTGCCTTTCGGGCGTGTCTCCTCCTGCTCTAGCATTTCTCCTCCTCTTCCGCCCACCTCCTACCTACTTTCTGTTCTACATTCTTGTGGGGGCAGTGGGAGGAGGACGAGGCGGAGCAGGAGGAAGAGAAGGCGGTGTGCGAAGAGATGAGGACAGCGACGACGAAGAGGACGACGGCGATGGCTCAGATAACGACGACGCAACCGATGCCGACGACGACGGCGACGACGATGACGACGGCGAAGACGACGACGACGTCGACGACGACGTCGACGACGACGACGAAGACGAAGACGACGACGACGACGAAAACGACGACGACGACGACGACGAAGTCAACAATGAAGGCGTTTCTGGGTTTGTCGCTCCTGGGGGCTATGTTGCAGGTCTCTGGGCCCTTTTGGGG